CATGATTGTAGTTAACCAATGTCACAATTACGAAAGCGAGGCTCTATAGCCAAGATGACGCACTTCAGTCCGAGTCTGGAAGAGCGTTTTTTTAGATCATTTTTTACACCAACTTGGTCTGCCCAACCTTGGGGAAAGAAGAAATCAACAACTAAATACTTTACTGATGTACAAAGTTAGACACGAAATGGCCCCTTCTTCCTTAAGTAATATGTTTCAAAAAACGAACGAGGTCCATGAACACCAAATGAGACAATCCAAACATGATTTCCTACCACCGAAGCCTAAAACAAATTACCTGAAAAAGGCATTTAGCTATAGAGGTGCAGTGGCCTGGAATAATCTGCCAAGTGAAATTAAAAATTCTGAAACTGTTAATATTTTTAAAGCAAAACTCAAGATTATCAATTGAGAGTACATTTTAATATTGTTAGTATTTGTTACATTAGTAAGTAATATGTATGTTGAATAGTCTATATGTATATTGTAGATAGTGTTATAAGATAGTTTTAAAAACACACGGCCTATTGGAAGATCACATTTTTATTTTCCTTCTCTTTTATACATAATTAAATTAAATGTAAGTAGTTTGTGAAGTAGTACCGTGTTTAAATAAAGTATAATGGAAACTTTATTAAATGTTTTTCTTTACATACTTATACAATCGTAAATCTCTCTCATAAAGGTAACTTACGGTTGGCTATTTGAATCACAATTATACTAAACTAAAATAACAGAACAAAGTGCATGCAATATATATATATATACAATGAGATAAGTCAGATTGTTAGTAAATCCGGATTTTCCCATTCCTTATTTCGGCAACAGAAAATGTAATATGTAGTTCTAATAGCAATAGTCATCATTTTCCTAACGCAGTACATTTGGTGGTTTAATAATAATAATAATAATAATAATAATAATAATAATAATAATAATAATAATAATGGAAACTTTAATAATTTTGTTATATACTATATATATACAATTGTAAATCTCACTAATTTAAGGTAACTTACAATTGGCTATTTGAATCACAACTATATCAACTAATAAAAGACAGGATACATGAAAATATATAAATATACAAGACAATCAGATATTTCAAATAGTTAACAAGTCCGGACTTTCCCATTCCTTATTTCTGCAGCAAAAAATATAGTATGTACTTCGAATGGCAATAGTCATCATTTTCCTAACACAGTACGTTTGGTAGTTTTTGTCCAGACCAACATTTCCTAACATTTCTAAGAATGTAGAGCATTCTTGCGCAAAAATACCTAGGGAGCTCATAGAAAGATTTATAAAGTTTACTTCGTTAAAATTTTCGTCTAGTTGTTTTACTAGTTCTTTATATTTGGCTTTTTTCCGATTAACGTTGTTCTCGAGGTTTGTCTCATAGCCAACAGTGAGCTCGACCACATAAAGAGAGCCATTTGATAACGATAGCAACAAATCCGGGCGATACGTATCACCAGTTATTATTGAAGGACTTTTGAATCCAGGCACATCAGCGTAGAGGGCAGAACCGTTCACAGTTTGCAAGGTATTGGCAAGGAAGTTCAGGATTGAATTGTGTCTCCACGTAAATCGATCGAGATAACACTGACATCCAGCGACCACGTGCAATAATGATTCTGGGCCAAGACAAAAGGAGCATTCTGAACTTGAAGACAATCCCCATCTGCTAAGGTTCTTGCGTGTCGGAAGAGAGTTATTGATATAGCGTATGGTAAAGTTATAAATGTTTTTCGGAAGTTTTGATTGAGCAGTAGACCACACTTTGCTAAGATGCGACAAGGAGAACTTTGTTACACTAGAGAAAAAGGATCCCTGACAAGTTAATTGATTTTGGAGTTTATCTTCATGTTCAGACCGAAAGTCTTTAAGCACTTCTTTGGTTGAGTTATAAAAGTCGTATTAATAATAATAATAATAATAATAATAATAATAATAATAAAAATACCAGAATACCAATATACTCTCCGGATAATACTGGCTCGATCTACACCTGCAGTATCCCTAAAATTCCTAAAAATTTCTACGTCCGTCTGCCTGAGTACTTAGTCTAGGGTATTGACTTTGTTGGGTATTTTGTACCCATATATATTTCAACCGCTATTTTAACAATAACTACTGTTACCAAAAGTAAAATGGCTTAAATTCCAATATACACCTATGACCTGGCCTGACTTCTTAATTTGCAGATAAAATGCGGACACGTGTCCATTCCTTTTCCGATCTACTGTACCTCGCAAAATCCGTTTCGAGTGTGACATTAGATTTAAGCCGGAAAGAAACTATAGTTGAATAATAAAATATAATAAACTATAAATAAGGGACGACACACCATGCACAATATCTCAAGTGCCACTTAATTAAGATGTTAAAAAGTGGCTATATATCTATGCAAAATGTCATATTAATTCAGTCCCAAAACTTTAGACTCCTTCCTCCGGCCGTACACACACTCCCCGTTGTAAAATTTTGAGACAGTCGGACAGAAAATATGCAGGAGTTAGATCATGGCATCATAGTCAACATGCAGAGGGATTTATTTACGGATATAGCTATAAAGTTCGAACTGATAAAGTTGGGGAACATTGAGTATTCGGATATATTTGATTACAAGTATTTCGACAAAGCGTTTTGTTAATCGACACGGCGAAATCATTCGTTTATATTGACCGAAAGACTCAATTGACCTCAATTCAAACACTCATAAATGTGTGTATCAGGGGGGGATAAGCATGTATCAAAAGTGAGGTATTTTCAGTTTCAGTTCGGACATATTTCTCTTCCCCTCCCCACGTTACAAATTTAAACCTGTACCCCTATATCAGCAGGCCGCACTGATGCACGTTCTACTTCAATGCCGTCGGACTGTTTTGACCTCCTTGGTAATATCAAGGGCATATCTTGCTCGGCGGTGTATGCATGTATTATGCATATATATAAACATATAAGCCCACGCATTCGTCGGCTTCATATAGTTATTACTTGGCCGAAATGAAACCATTGCCCTGTTGATACTGTCAATAAAACATACAATATATTTAATCAGCCGAAGAAGATGCGAATTGCGAAGCCTTAATATTTCTTAGAACGTTCCACAAACGATTGTTGTATTTTCGCGGCTTGCTCTCCCTCGGATGTGGTCAGGCCTGTCCCTGAGGAAAAGCCACAGACTGCGCTAGGGTCTATGGCAACGCGATTCATTGCCGCAAAGCGACTAAATACAAGCAATCTGGATTCAATTTCGCCCCTAAATGAAAACTTTCCACTCCCCCGACAATAATAACTTAGGTAGACATATTCGAGAGTAGAGGATCGAGGGTCGTTCCTCGTGGATCGAGAGAAGTTGAAAGTGGCTACGCAGCAACCTCGTACCCAGGGCCACGCAGTTACTGGAAGACGGCGACTGACAGCCTTTAGATTATAAAGCGTTCCGCAAAGTGTAGTGGAGTTGTTTTTATGTGGTTCGGATTTTTCCGTACTCCGGACCGTACACATCTTCAATTTCAAGGAGATATCTGACGAGTTTTCGATGGAATTCGCTAAGAGTTTGTTTTCTTTGTAATTTGTTTTCGAATATTATAGACTGAAATATCAGCTTAGTTTTGGTTATAAAAAAATTGCCAAGATTTTTTTCGTGAAGTCATTTTCAGTATGCGCGCAAAATATTGAGATGAATTTCTAGGTAATTTTACCTGATCAGAAACTTAAAGTTAATTGTTTACCTTCTGTGAGTTCTGGTACAATTATTATCGTGTTTGATTTTGTGTTTACAGATATTTATTCAGTTTCATACCTAAATAAAGCCAGAGAAGGACAACATAATAATAATAATCGTAATAATGATTTAATATCAGAATTGGCACGAAGTGGCTGGCTCTTCCTCCGGCTTTGAAAAGCTATTAAAAAACTAAAATATTTTTTCGTTTGAATTTTTAAAGTAACCGTTCTTTGTAACGTTCTCCGTTTTCTGATCTGGACCCAGTTGGACGGTTCAATTGCGCGGTCCGTTGTTCATTGTAGTCACTGTTTCCACGACTCGTTATCCTCGTCCACGAGATCCGTTCAACACTCCCATCCAAAAACCCCATAAACAAAAATTTGCTGTTTTCCCCCAGCAAGCGGAAATGTGACACCGTCTATGCATGCAAAGAATTTATGATTTGCACATCTTCAGTTTTAAGATTTAAAAACTTCCCAAAAAAACTGCTCGGTATCTGCCTAGACATAGTTCCGATTGAAATTTAAGCTTTGAATGCTTTCAAAGTGCGTGTAGATCGCTCTGTTTGTGTACGGCTTAGGCTTCGTCTTTATCATATATTCAAAGTATGTTGTTTACGAGTTTGGCAGAGGATATAAATATCTCGTGTGTTCATTGTTGCGGTGTTTGATAAGACAGAGAGAGAGGGTTATCATTCTGAAGTGCTGCCAAATGAAGACGCTTCGGGAGACTGATATTTAATTCGCTAGTGATCAGAATTTAAACATCAACAACAACAACGAAAACGTCACCTGTCGTACAGCACGCTCATCGCACTTATCACAATTGTCACACAGAACAAGGATTGGTCATCTTCGCGTGACGTATACCCGTGCAAAGATATAGCCTTGCTTGCCATATTCGTCCATACGTCGCGACAGTTGTGAAGGACGAAACAGCGAAAGGGACTCAATACAAATGCATATATTATCGAGCGTATTTTGGACGCGCTAAATACTTTCACTGAGCAAGCATTATTGTCGACAGCGGGTGGTGAACATCGTTTTCATTTTGTCATAACAACTTAGGAAGGGCTTAGATGTCTACCAAACAATGTCAAACATCTGCTTCGAGCCCAACTTACATTTCTGGTGAAGAAATATCGGCCTAGGGATTGAAAACTGAGGTAATTCAAGCCTTAGAGCCGTTCTACGACGATTTGAAGAAGAACAGATACTTATAGTTATATACGTGAAGATTAATTATATATTGGGTGAAAAATAGTATGGCAGCACCAAATGGAAACGGTAGCGTACACGATAATACTTCGAATACATTTTACAATAGTTCCAAGGAAGAACGGATTATACAAGCCAGTCTTATGATAGCCCTGGCAATAGCGAGTTTAGCTGGCAACGGGATAGTGGCGTTCATCGTTATTATGCAACAGAGATTACGCTCGTTGTCGAATATTTTGTTGGCGAATCTTGCTTGTATTGATTTAGTCAAAAGCGGAGTTCTCATTCCGCTACTAACCGCTACAATTGTAACTCATCCATCGGATTCGCCACTTAAAGGCCAAGTAGCTTGCTTGATATTATTGTCGTTCAGTGCTTTTGCGAGTACAGTGACTGTTTTAGCTTATTTGACAATATGCACTGATCGCTACATTGCTGTTGTCCATCCTATCGCGTATAGACAGAGTTGGAAAAGTAAGACTAGTATCCGAAGCTTATTCGTTCTCTCTCCTTGGTTTATCGCCGCGATTGTGGTGTTTCCTATTCATATAGGCTCCCATATCGATGTAAACATTGGTCAAGAGACGTGTACACGTTATCGAGCAGAGTTTTTAGCGAACACAACAACTACTGCTGTTTCTCTTAGCATATTTATTGTTTCGTTGTTCGCTCTTATTGTACTCTACGCGTTGCTCTTTAATAGCGTGCGAGAACTTGCGAAACGGAGGATACAGTTTGTAAGTGCAGAAAATTCGCATCGAGTGGAAGAACGGGTGAGGAAACTCGAAATTCACACTGCTAAAACAACTGCAATCACAGTCGCTGCTTATGTGTTTCTATGGATCTTATACATGATCGTGACATTACTCCGATATCAGGACTATATATCATTCTGGTTGGATTTCCTTAGCTTGTTTTTTCAATACACAAGTGGGGTAATAAATCCTTTTCTATACTTCGCGAGGATTAAGGAACTAAGGGATGGTTTGAAAAGAGTTATCAGACCACGAGATTGGCGCTATGCGCGAACGACCTCCATGACGGAGCGCTCTAGACGGTCTGGTATTAATTTAAGGAGTCCCATAGCCTCAAATGATGTTAAATACGACGAGGGATCCGCTGTTGGCTCAGGTACGGGGTCCGCAGAAGATGGACCGGCGAATGTTTAAAAAAATCGGAGAAGATTTAAGGATTGGAATGTTTTCTCCAGGAATTAATGCGGAAGCGTTACAGTAGACTTATTGAAGGCTGGTGTGTAGTGTTTAAAACTACCCATAAAAAATCAATAACAAAGTTACGAGATCCCATCATTCACAGCTAACTTCCTATCACTCAAAATATTGGACTTTGTTATTTACATGGTTTTATAAGTAGTTTTGACACTCAAACAGTCCACTTGGAATACGCGACCACCTACTACGGAACCCTGAGATTTTGACTGTTTAATGGATTGGAAAATAATATTTGATTTTATGGAAGAAGAAATAAGTTGAACGAAGCTGGACGCGAAATACGAGTACAAAAGAAGTTATTTTCCTGAAGAGTAAAGGCGAACCGTTCTCGAAGTCACTAGAATGGGTATTAAAATGCCAAATTCTTATATGCCTTATTAAATTCCAACAAAAATCAGAGATATAACCATTTGGTTACTTTATACAAAACAGTAGAACATATTGACTATATACAAAAACCAAAAGGACAAGATTTATTATACTGTTTGTACGGAGACGAAATATGACTGAACTGATTGACAGAACGACTATTTAATGGCTCAGAACATGTCTAAAGAATGCAGATATTACCTGAGCACCATGTCAAACGAAGACTGAAGAGTAAATTTTGGGCATTTCAACTCTTATCATCACCAGAAATTGCTAGAATTACATACAATGATGTCAATGAGGCGTTATATACGTGGGATATTAGGGTTTGAAACTCAAATTTACATAATAATATTTGTCTGTGCTTGGCTGGAAACCAAAGAAGTATTCATTTAGCCAAAACCAAATGTTTTTTTTTTAGTTATTCATTTCATTTTGGGCTTGATGTATTTATATCAGGGGCAGATGGCTCTTGAGTGTTTACGTCTCATAGTAACAAATCCCTCATATTAGATAATCTTGAAATTCATTAAACTTTACTAAGTTTTATGAAGATTGGCATCGGTTTCAGTCTGGGAAAATGCATTGTCGCTTACTGTGACACATTCAAAGTCTATGTCCTACATTTTAAACAATTATGTTTTTGAACAGAGATTTAAAATATCGCTCTTCAAAATACAGGCGCTTTCTAATTTGTTTTGATAATTATTATGACCACAGAATCAAGAGAATGCCATTCCTAATTTCCCACACTAGACCCCCAAGTGAAAAGATTGAAAAATTTTGATGTCATGTTTCGCATTTGATGTTGGTGTTTCAATTCAACTAATATATACATTATATGGATTGACATTCTTTGATGTAACAATCAAGTTGCTTGGGATTCAATGGATAATAGTGCATAATTTTGTTTTAATTTTGTTCATAAATTTGAGACTCAAGACTCTACAAATAGCCAAAGTATATTTTGTCTTATATTTAAGATGCCAAGCAGATTACTATGGATTATAACTCGGCAGATGTGTGGTAGTCATTTCCATACAGTTATCACGTAGCCATAGGTGGGAAAGAGATTTGATCTCCGATGTATTTGGCCGTAAATTTTTGCAGACTATACAACTATTACAAACAAAGACTTTATATAAAGAAATAAGAGACTTCAATTGTGGACGTTGAAACTATAGTTATACTTTCCAGCAGTATTTTAGTAAACAAGACATTATTTGATTTACCCCCATGCAACTATGAAGATTTAAACACACTCTTCGAAACTTACTATTTTTTTATTGATAAAAGACTTTTTGAAGTTAAAAGACAAAGAAATTATCTCAGACATTTAAGTTTTGAACTATATTTGACTATACGTACAACCAAGTATGAACAGAGCAATCAAATGCACATTGAGAAATTGTTTGTTAAACAGCCTTTCCTCCACAAGTGTTTTGAGGGAAGCAGTTTGGAAAAACAAAGCTATTATGCACACTATGTTGTCTTCATATTTCAAAAAATCAAAAACATTAGCGCAAGTGGGTTACTATTAACAGATTATTTTCGTCTGTAAATAACCACTTATACTGATAATGTCTTTGGAAATTGAAAGGAAAAATAATTACCCATTTCGTCAAGTGTTTTGTTTTTTCTCCCTCCTCGTGACGTGAGCAAAACACCCTTACAAACCTTAGCGAATGTTTTATAATTTGTGAAAAGAAAATCGCCCGAAAGGAAAATGTCCTAATAATGAATTGTCGCTGTATTTTAGTTTCTTTATAGACGCGGCGACTCGCCCGAAAACCTTGGGTTTTCGCCAGAATAACTCGAGCCAGATGGCAGATCAGCAGATGAATCGAAATATATGGGTTCATTTAATGTTGTCTGTACATGATTATAGGAAGCGTTAATGTTGGCAGAAATGTGTAGCGGATTTTCCCATAACCTGTTTATCAGTTATTCGGTTTATGATTCCGGTCACAGCCCTGAATTGTATCATTTGGGCTCAAACATAGGGGTCCATCCTGCAGTGTATAGGCTGTATTCTCTGGTTACAATAGGTTGCTATTGTCAGTATTGTGTTCCTCGAAACATTGAAGATTAAAAACACCCAAAGCCAGGATGTTCGTCAGTAACATCCTGACGACGCGCCGTTGGCCGAAGCTCTGAAGAATTTTTAATTTCTTGCAGCCAGCCAGACACATAAACCACCGCTGCAGCGATTGTGTTTCGGTTAATATGGAAATGAGCTTCGATTGTCGAACTGAGACGTGCTACTATAGATGAGACTGTGTCTTTGAGAGCAAAGTTTTCTCAGCTGCCCACATATTTGATGTATTTAGCATATTTTATACAACATTATGACCTCGTGTTTTGAGTGATTGCCAAATGTATTGTGCATGCTTTGAAGTGACGTTATTATGAATCAGCGAATAATAGATTATATGATAGGCAAAGAACAAGGCTTTGATTGATTTTCAGGTTATTAATGTCATGTCTTATATTCACTATCAACGATTGGCTACCCTAGCTGGCAAAAAATATTGCAAGCAAAGAAAAACGTGAATCGTGGTGGATGGATCAAAATGTGATCCTTGATTTATAAAGAATTTATGAGATTTCTAAAACGATTTTCAGTGGTCGTTTGGTGAAATTTGAACTGATCTATTTTCTCCGAACAGTTATTTCCTGATTTTTAGCGGCTTGTCAGATCATTTGAAAGATTGATTTCTAGAAGGTGTATATACTGTATATGTAACGTATGTACTGTAATATAGCTTTGGCCTGCAGCTGAGTGCATCCATATGGTACTTTATTATGTTGGGTTTGGTGAATAATCAATAATCCAAATGAGCATGCTATATACACTTTAATTAAGACATAACCATACAGAAACGGTTGCGAGAAATGCAACACTACGTATACTAAGCCCGTCTAAGGTCCTCTATTTGGCAGGAGTCGAACCTGCCAATCCGTCCATCTTTTATACAAAAAATGTCTTTAGTACCACTGTACCATGCACGGACTCAATAAAAATATCAGATGGAAACTTGTAAAGCTTCCTGACAAAAGAATCATATCAATCATCGAGTTGATCGGACTATGATCTGTAACTGTCCGTTTCATGCATCACGACGCGGTAACTAGAGTGGGCTGCCGCCATATTTGAAATTCTCAGTGCATGTCACTCGTTGGATATGTAGATCTCGAAACATTGTTTTCACAATCAATAACGTTTCTGATATTTGATCATGATGGCATAATTTTGACTTTGAAGATGAAACTTTTTGTTGGCGGGTTACTACTAGAGGCATAGTTTCCCGATCATCGCCTTTTGAAGAGATTAACATTCCTCAAATTCAATGTTTGAATGTAAGGAAACTCCTTTGATATTACTTCATGATTTAAGAAAGTACAGAGTTTTCCAGCGAAATAATGATTCCTCTTTATATGCGTGCTTTAAAGCGAAGCGCACACGCCAGGCTGCAAGTAGTAGTCCACCGATAATTCACTGATGGTCTAGATCATGTTTGACGAGAAGAATCATTGCATTGGTATACGTATCGGATTTGTGGGCTCCGACCTAGTATCCTCACCCGTCTATAATGCTAACACCTAAATCGACCGCCTAAAATCGATTGAATTTCTACAAAAAATGATATCCATGCAAATTTATTGACAAGGTGCTATACGAAATTCGCTTTGAATTTTAGGTTATCTAGGGTTAGGTTATAATCGGCTTTCGAACAAACCGGCCCCTATACACATAAAAAACAGCGTCAAAAATAGCATGCAATATTACATCAGTAGCTATATCAATAAATATGAAAATCTATAAAGATAGAATTTCTACATTCCTTGCTAATTGGCAGTTGCCTTATTCATTCTATACCTCAATATGAAATCATTGTGCAAAAAGGTCACCCTTGTTGTGGGTTGCAGCACACATTTATTGGAATAATGTCCGAAACAGCTGTAAATTTCTTACCAATTTATTCAGAGTGCAGGTTCGGAATTTCCATCTACAAAATCATTCATACTGCCAGTTCAATCGAGTGAGATAAAGGCCCAAAATCCAGTTAATTCTGACTGACCTTTCCGGCATAATCTTGTATAAAAGCTTTGTACTTAAGCTTTATCTCTGTCTCTGAGAACTTTGAGTATGGATCAAAAGCAGAATTACGATGACAACTTAATGCTATAAATACTACTTTTATTTTCATATTTATTAAGGATAATTTACTAAATAACTAGCATCTAAAAACAGTTCATAGTGCTTTGTGTTAGAATTTAGGTTCTTATATACAAACAACACAAGCCTTATAACGTAGATAAATAAAAATGTTATCGATTTTTGGAGTTTCACTTGTTTTGTATTTTACAAGCCTTATATCAACTGTTTATCATCAGGTCAGATATAAAATTTATTAATTTCCATATATCACACCATGCATATTATTGGTATACATAGGACTGACTTAATACGAAATCATTCACCTAATGAACTAATTACATACAGTATAATCAGAGATAATCGTGGTTAAATTATACAACTAATTCAAAAAAGGTTGTCTTTTGGAAAACCTTGAACTAAACCTTAAACCTTAAGCTCTAAGCGCGCAAAGCTTGATGGGAGCACAAGTTTCAAGCTTAGTAATTGAATATTGCAGCTGCTTGTGAATGAATTGTTCTCGTATAAAGGAGATATTCACCATGTCTCTAAGAAATGGGCCCCATATATGATTTCTAAACTGATTATTAAATGATGCTGCCATTATGCTTTGCACGCTTAGAGTTTAAGGAGTTAAGGTACGTTTTTCAACGGACAACCTTTTTTGAATTAGCTGTATACATATTTGGCTTTAGCTACAATTTGTTATGCATTTGCCATTCATAGACGTATACAATATAGAAGTAGCTCGTTTTTCCCTAGGCCTAGCGATTTAAAGCTACTATTAATTCCTGATAACTCTTTTGATTCACTAACTTATCATTATTCCAACTTGAAAAGTAATGAGATCGTCACTTACACAAGTTGACTTACAAATAGGACATACTTGTATTTTTGAGGTAGTTGTATCCCCAGTATCAATCCGAAGCTTTCTCAAAGTATAATTATTGGCACTATCACAGACCCGTTCAAGACCATACATCGTATTCGTTTATCGTCCAATTTCAACTATAGACTACCTATCACCTATGTACGGATACCCCAAAGGCCCAAACCTTATGCTGACCCGAATTAAAATCCTGAACGGGTTAGTGTAGGGGCAGGCCAGTGCATCTAACGTAACTAGGACAACGTCACAACATGTGAAGGTTATAACTTTGTTTTTGTACAGTAGCAATTCTAACTTAGCGCATGATTAATTTAATTGATTAAGCGCGTGCCGGCATCTCAGAAACAACTTAATATGTGAAGCGAAACTAATTGTTCTATATATATACTTGGCATTATAACAAGCCATTTTCAAACTCAGTCTTTGCGTCTGATCCTCGAGGTTGATAGGGTTTTTCTTTTCCTGGTGCATCTATTTTTTCAAACCAAGATTGCAAGAAGATCTTAATTATTGTTTCAGAGCTTGATCAGCGTGGGAGTATTTTGGACAAGATGTCAAGAAGGAGTGAATATGGATGAACGTTCGGCATTATTCGGAAAGCTATTTTCCAGTGCCGCCTTCAATTCCATGCATACATGCATTAAATGTAATATTAAAGATTAAAACAACGTGTAATAAATGTTTTAATGACTTTCCATACGACGCCATCATGATGGATTCCAATATATTTGACCTTATAATTGTACCCACTTGCAAACGATAAAGAGGGCACAACTTTAATACAAGCGCCAAGCCATAAAATATAGTGATTCGGATTAATGGTGCTTTTTCGACATGTACTCATCTTAACAAACCCATTCAATGTGGGCCTGTGGCCACCACTGGCTGCATGGAACCTATATAGTATTAGCAGTTGCATACTCCAGCTTCACTTAAGCCAGGTCTGAATCCCGCACAACAGCGAATTAAAAACAGCGAATTCTTAATAAACTTGATACGAGTGTTGCGTTAATAACCTATATAGTTACTATACTTTTGTTGGTCTGACACCTATTTAAACAAGAATTTTAATTTGGCAAATGAGTTTGCTATGACTCAGCAGTTTATTGACTTAGGACGAGGGCCGACTCATATAAAATGCTATCCTTTTATGCGAAATTTAATATACTGTGCGTGGGAACATTGCAGACGAGCAATTTTTGACAGGCATGTGTTCAAATATAAATCTGATCAATCATGTTTGTATGATGCGACCTGGGGTAACGCCTTATTTGAATTTCATTGGACGATAAGCGATTCTCAGTTTGTTAGCGAAACAATCCTGCAAAAATATCTTAGTGTGGGCGTATTACAGTAAACATGCACTCAAACCTGGATGGGGAATCAGCAATTCACCGTCCGTGAAGGATCTTAACACTTTATTGAAGCAGTAATCACCTTGGTAATCACTGGACTGTTTATATCTATGGTTTATATAGTACGAGTTTTAATCAAGGCATATTTTAAAGATTTACAAGTGGGGCCCATAATTCTGAATACTATAAAAAGTTAATGTTTAACACTCTTACTCGCAATGTGCTTGTCTTTCAACATATATTTTAACTCGAGGCTACGTACTATAGTATAATGTATAAAGTTAAAGTTTACAAACATCCAGACGAATCCCTAATGAGAATTTCTTCATATATTCTCATTGTAAACTATGATAAAATACAGACAAAGACTTACTACAATCACATTAATACTACAAAAAATGTGGTTAAAAGAGCCCAAGGAGTGGGGGGGCCCTTGTGCATGAGTGGGGGGCCAACAGGAGGGCCTGGGGGGCAAATGGCCCCCACAAATGGCCCCAGTATATATGTTAAAATATGCCTTGGTTTTAATAGTGATACATCGTAAAATATAAGGCTTCTCATAGTGTTTACATGCACATTCAAAGCTTCTGTGATCACAGTAGACTGAATTTTGCATTGGTAATCTGTAAGGAGCTTGCTTGCTTGCTTGCTTGCTTGCTTGCTTGCTTGCTTGCTTGCTTGCTTGCTTGCTTGCTTGCTTGCTTGCTTGCTTGCTTGCTTGCTTGCTTGCTTGCTTGTTTGTTTGTTTGTTTGTTTGTTTGTTTGTTTGTTTGTTTGTTTGTTTGTTTGTTTGTTTGTTTGTTTGTTTGTTTGTTTGTTTGTTTGTTTGTTTGTTTGTTTGGGGATGTAGGATTGAACCCTACGTCTTCTGTGGCAGCACTTTAACAAATCATTAACGAATTTTCCATGTCAAGCCTATTTCGAAGTACTGTATATTGAATCCAGTTTCTGTAGTTCGCCCACTTCACAATGTAATAATTTCAGATGATATCTTTTATCATAAACATAAACCATATGTCCCAGTAGACATGCATACGTCAAAACTATTAGCCCCCAAAGTGTCTATGGAATCATACAAGTCAAACGGTCAATCTGTCGCTTCAATTTTTCACAGTTTTAGAGATCCATGAACGTGTTTAATTCATGTCTTATAATAGACGCTAACAATGACTGAAGTATTGAAAAACCAAATTTATGAAATCAGAAGAAGCAAGTAGTTTAATAAACAATATGCCCATATTAGGCATAAATCGTTATCTCCTAAAAGGCGGAAAATGTCTTGAAGAAAATCACAATGCCTCGATTTATTTTTAAGCACATGGCCCGAAGTCTCAGCATTAGTGAAATTCTTCGTTGCGTCTTTTATTGTAAACATGTTTTTCAAAAGGCCTGACAATAAGGGCGGGTTACTAAGATATTTTAACCTAAGACTCCTAGAGGCCGTATAATATATTTAAAAGCTCTCTGCTGCATTCAATAGTCTTTCATGCAGTTAGGTTGTTTTGCAAATGCTGATCTAAAGCCTATGCAAAAATAATTATACTGCATCTTGTCCAATATGTTTTTTTTTTCAATTACATAATATTCTGATAAATCAGCTGTTTATAGATAACTAATAACAATCTTTCAATACGACTTGTGCATGCTCACCCGTCATATGTCAATTTCAATATGAAAGAAAAGTTATTAACTGTTTTGCTCAGATGAAGACCCGAGCTCACTATAAATAAAAGCGTTGCAGATTGAATTAAACATGGTGTTTTCTAAGAAGGACAATTTCCCTCGGCTTGAGACAAGTGCCTAGCTGGTCTAAAATCTAAATACGATATTCGTTCATTCGGTTTCCGGCCTGTTTAAAAATATTTTGAGGTTTTCAATAGATGACCGATTTTTAATTTGATTTTACCGATCGGTCAAAGATAACATTTTTACAAAGAAAGATAAGTTACTAAGCCGGATGCTGGTTAATAAACCTTGTTATTAACCAACTTGCTATTATTATATATAACCAACGTACACTGTAGAGCGGCGCGAGTTATAACAGGAGCTTGATTTGATGTCAACTCGGCAAATGTACTCGGGAGGATCTGCAATGGTCCACGCTCGATGTAAGACGTCATAGGCTGAAGAGCGTTTTGATGCACAAAATTCTTAATGAGCAGTCCGCTCCAAGTCTTAAGCCTGCCGCACACGAGAGCTATCTGCTGAGCAAAAAGTTACTCGTGCCTGTTAGCTCAGCCGATAGCTCACCGTGTGCGCGTACATTTTACTGAGTTTTTTGCCTCATGCAACCTTTTCTCACGTATCAAACATGTTTGATCGGTGAGCTATCAGCTGAGCTAACAGGCACGAGTAACTTTTGGCTCAGCAGATAGCTCTCGTGTGCGGCAGGCTTTAGAGAAAAATTTATAAAAATTAAAGATATTAATAGAGAATATATATAATCTTCGAGGTAATGATACTGATTTAGCACTTCCAAAAACTAAAATAAACTATCTTAATTAAACGAAGTTTTAAGTATATTGGTGCAATGCTGTTGTGGAATAGTCTTCCTTCTGAGGCGAAAAAGGCATGTTCTCTTTTACCAATTTAAACGCAGTATGTCCACTATATACCAGAGACTTAGGATGTGAGTTAAAATAGTTTGTAAGTATAACACGCCCCATACATCTGAAAATCAACAGATTGTATTTTACAACTATGTTGTGTATGGCCAGCGTGGCTAAATAAATCTGTAAGTATAAGTAAGTACTGTCTTTGACTTTGGTGCTAAAATGATAATGGTGCATGATATAATCATATTTTGTGTCAAACGTACTCTATCTGAAGGTATACGAAAGGGCTTGACTGAGTCACTGACGTACATGCATTTTCCTCACAACGGACAAAAGGCTGACATTGATGAACTAGCATCCTACAAAACACTGACAAACAACTGACATTTGGCTTGAATTGAGACCGCCTCCAATTAAGACCGCCTCTGTTTTCGGCCACTGTGCATGCAAGATCAAGTGTGATTTGAGTAAATTGTGACCAGCCGAATAAATCATTTCTACTTTGCCGCTTCAATAGAATTGAGCGAAAAATGTCGACAGCGAAATTTTTCTTGCAAGGGGATTCAGCTTAAAGAATAATTGCACATCACTTTGCCGCATACTGTTTCGACTTTAATCTTGAATGCTAAGTTGCTAAGTGCAGTGTTATGTAACTAACAGCGTGAACAGTAAGCCTAACAATCACTCGAATATTGCTCCCCATGCAAGACCCCAACATTTTGGCAAAAACATCGCGAAACCTTCCCAAGCAACTTCACGCGCGTTTAGTATTACTAACAAGTCGAGGGACCCTGGGAACGAAGATGGCGTTGATTCTCTCCATAACTATATAGCCTGCTCCCAGCCCGAAATTTCGAAAGCGAAACAAATTCAGGCTGTGAGCAGAGGTTTTTAGTTAATACTGAGAAGAACATTTAGGTTCAGGTCGTGAATGCAATATCGACTGGGTTTTATATTCATTCACTGACTTAATTTCAAACACTCATTAATAATTCATAAGCTTATTGACAAATCATGTCAACCATAATATGTCACGTGCAGTGGCTTTAAACCTGATAAAACACTCCTAATTAGTATTCTTTATATAAAGAATACTAATAAGGCAGTGTCTATTGTAGTCGTGTCTTCATTGGTATTTTTTTATATAAAGAATACTAATAAGGCAGCATATCTATTGAATTTGCAGTCGTGCATGTTTCAGGAAGCCGTTTAATAAACTCGCAGGTCGTGTTTTATTGGGTCTAAAGCCACTCGCGCTGCGCGCTCGTGGCTTTAAACTTAATAAAACACTCCTGCTCGTTTATTAAACAGTACTTAATAATGATATTAGACCTCAAATGACAAACATCAGAGAATTCATTGTAAGTAGTTTATTTGAGGATTTAATTCCACGCACATGCTTTTATCGGAGACTAAACCTAGTTCATAAGTTTAAGACAAATATTGCAAGTTAAGCTAAATGTAAAGGCATGCATTATAAGTATATAGCTTTCTGAGTCAAAGTAAAGTTTAATTATCTTCTGTTGGGAAACTCCTCGCGATTATTTTCATAAGATTTCAAGGCCTCCTTGAATTCTTCATCGTTCGGATAAAATTCCCGATTCTCTTCTGCCTTTTCCCGCATCATATTTTTCCAGTTCTCCTACAAAATGAATGGACTTGAGAAGAGGCAAGTTTATGTGTACAAAAATACTCTTATAAAATCGATGGTTAAACAAAAAGTTTCTATATAGAAGTTAATATAATTTTAAAGAAAACTTTTCAATATAAGTACAATTAGCCTTTCTCACGATGACGAATATCCGCCATTTTTGGGTGGCATCCAATTCTCGTTAACCATTTCAGACTGATTAAAACAATGTGAAAAGCATTTTTTCAAAATAAACTAACCATTTACAAAGCAAACTTACCATAATTTGTCCAAAAAATTATAAAAGGTCGCTGTTATGTTGCCTTATCTCGCAGACCTCGGCTGAAATGCCACCCAAAAATGGCGGCGTGATTAAATTAAATTAACCTGTGTCTATAATGCAAGTCTTGGATTAAGGCGTTGGTTGCCATGGCTATATATTTTGTAGGATATTCTCATTTGAGCGTTGGGAAACATTGTTGCACATTGAACATTTCAAATTCCATGTTTTCCTTGAATCAGTGGGCTTGAATGAAGCTAGTTTCCTGCTTCTTTGGAAACAGTGTTATATACAGTTATACAATAAACGTTTTGCTTCTCAGGAGTTAAAAATGTTTCCTTCAAATTCAAGAACAGTTTGAGAGTATAGCTATACTTATCGTTGCGGATATATAAATTTATTAATGTTCCCTTAAATAGTATATATTTGCATACTATACTGTATTATAGAGAGAGAAACATGGCCAGGGAACAATTTTCATGCCATGCAGTTTGCCCAGCCGGTCTTATTATAGTATCATTCATCCTCTATAGATGCAACACTGATTTACTCAACTTTTTGGGTGAAGTTCCAAATTTACTCAATGTTTAGAATTAATAACATATTTACTTTACTCAATAAAATGTTGACGGTAAATTTGCTCACTGATAAATTTGAGTATTCTTACCACCCAATGTCTTTAATTACTGTGTGAACATTACTACTATTGACTCAGTCTCAAGTTTCAGTCGAGCCATTTTTTTTATAGTGAAGATACAAGATTAAAGAAATGGAAAGATTGGTTCAACTTACCCAAGCTCGTTTTCCTGCACATTTCCTAGGATGAACGCCACACTGCGGGCGGTTTTTCCGCTTCACATCATCTCTTGCTGTCACGAGCGTAACACACAACATCAGGGTTAAAACAACAGCCTTCATTCTGCTTTTCTTTGGCTATACAACCTTGTCAGTTCCAGTAAATATTACTGATAAAGTTCTTGCTCCTCATAAGGCTTCTAAACGTTTACGTTGCCTTATATATACCCAAGCACATGTCCCTACATTCACAGTTGGGTGTAATGCACACTCATTTGGTTAAAAGGATGCTAAATACACTCATTAGTAATTAATCTCTATATGTCTGTTTGACGGCATGTTTGTGCATACATGTTTATATGATGGCGTTACAACGTCCAAGTTGTATTATGAAACTTTGTACAACTGACATAATTCCCTCAGTATACGAAAACATACACATATATAGCTATATAGGCATAGCAGGACAATATATTAACTGACGTTGAATATTTTTGTTCAACATTTTGTAAGAAAACAGAACTCGTTAAAAACATCATGCAACAATTCTAAAGCCTGTGTCCTTTTTATTCTGTATAGCTTTATTCCTTATAATTTTCCGTTTCATGATTATTTTCTTTGCGTGACAAATTCTCTCACTGCATGCATATAACATTACTCATTAGCTCTTTGTGCGAAATTGGACACAATTTACAGAGAAATCGCCTTAAGTAACATGCATAAATGGCTTTGACGGAAGAATTTCTAAACATGTAATTACTATATATTATAAATAAATAAACATGCATATATAGCAGAAAATTAGATGTTCATTTTAGTATATCAGTATAATATATACTTAAGTTAAGAATTTTATGTCTATATATATATATATATATAGCTTAAGATTTTGGTTTACGAAACACAAACAGTGCTCAATACCATATAGATAGAGCGTAATATAGTTTTTCGTTTTACCTCAAAAACCACAACAGTCTGTTTCATCCGTATAGGAATCATCAGGTGGTGAACTGGACCACCTGATGATTCCTATACGGATGAAACAGACTGTTGTGGTTTTTGAGGTAAAACGAAAAACTATATATATATATATATATATATATATATATATATATATATATATATATATATATATATATATATATATATATATATATATATATATATATTTAACAAATATAAAACATTTTCCGTGTTGATATACAGTTATATCAACACGAGTGGAAATTGGGAAAACGAGAAATTGTGTGGAAACACGACGCCCGAAGGGCGGAGTGTTTTCACACAATTTCGAGTTTTCCCAACTTCCACGAGTGTTGATATAACTATATATCAATACAG